TTTTTTTTTTTTTTTTTTTTTTTTTTTTTTTTTTTCAAGTGACCACCCTTACTTGTTCCTAATACTAATGCTCTTGTTCAACCTGAGAAATGAGAGTTTTCCTAATTGGTTGTCCATGATCTATTTGGGTTAGAGCAAGGGTTACCAGATTGAGATGTTCGTCATGAGTAATCATTATTGGCCCTTGCTCCCTACACTACCATATTTTCCCGCAAATAGAATGTACTGTCATTATTGCTGTATTTAGACTGGAAGAGTCGCCCCAAATACAGCTATAGTGACAATGCGTTTTATTCAGGGGAAGCGGAGTGTAGCAACTTTATTGAAGACTGTGCTTCTTCTTTTCTCATATTTACGAAATTTGTGCGTTTTGAATATAGCATTGCTGTTCTGGTGGACTTTATGGATATGAGTGCAATCACACTTACAATTGACCCCACAGAGCCTTTAAGACGTTGGATTGGCTTGGATACCTTCCTTTCGAGTAAGCCTTATGGACATTTGAGACCGCGTTAACCAATGGCATATTTTGTTTTGAAGATCGCAGATCCACCATTGCTTATCATCAGTTTTCATGCCGACTATGGACGCCGATCAGCTCCTCGCTGACAAACTCACATCGTTTTATTCACTCACGACTGGGGCGACTCTCGAAAGCTCGCGGGGGAAGGACAAAAGGGGCTGAGGAGAGGACAAACCATTTGTCCGTCCCAACCTCAGGCCAACTCTCGAATTCCCTCGATGTCATGGAGATGGAGGCAGAGGGGACTCCTGATGATCACTTCGCTGCAGGCTGGGGATGAAATGGTTTTCAAGAGGACCTATCCAAATTGTTCTCTGACACCTCTCGATTTATTTTCCCAGCTTCGAGTTTTGAGAGGTAGTGTGGTGACGGCTACTTCTCGAGATTCGTGGTTTCCAGAGGTGGTATGGCGAGGCCCAATAACTAGAGGGATGGGATCGGCTTTGTGACCCAGCGTCTAAATCTGTCAGATGGCAGACAATTAAGCGAGTCTCCTTCAGGCACTAAAGTCCCCTGATGAGGCCTCCAACTGGCAGAGGCTAAAACACGGTGTAGGGACGCCACTAGTAAATTCTTCCCTGTGTTTCATGATTTTTATAATGGAAGAATCTTGTTGCACCCAAGGAGTCTTTGTCTCGTATTTCCGCTTCCTCCTTTTTCCACCCTCCATCTCTCTGTCTTTGTCGAGTACAACTCTCATGATTGGTATCTGGGTGAAGATGACTGCCTGTTGTTGTGTCTCTCATCAGAATGAAAGGGCACTCCGCTGTGTGCGGACGGTACCTGTGGCTACTTGTATCTGCCACGCTGACACCTACCCACCTCCCCTTTGTTGGATAGCTTATGATGACAGGGGCCACTTTGGGTTCCACTTGACGTACGCTGCAGTGGTTTTACTGGCCAGGTATGAAAGAGGACGTCAACACCCTTTTTTTCTTTTTTATTATTTTTGAATAGACACAAGTGGACACGGCGCGGTGATGCTGCGGCCCAGGTGCACTATACACAGCAGGCTCGAACGTGCAGCTTGTAGGCGTGGCGACCGATGCGGGAACGGAGAAAAGAGAAAAGAAACGGCCGAGTGCCTGGATCGCCTCCAGCGCACTTAGCGTCAACTGGCTGTGCTAGTCCTCTTGATACCCCTGATCGGTATTACTACCGGCAGGGTCTATGATCAATACGGGCGTGAGTGTGAGCATGAGCGGGCGGTGTGTTGTGTATGGGAGAGTGTCGGCCATAGACACTGCTGCTACTTGACCGGGGTTGGGGAAGTAGATGGGAGGTGCAGCTACTGGCTACATGGTCCGCACCCTACTCCCTGAGCATCGCTGATCAAGGCAGGAGCCAAGATGCATTCCCTTAATTGTGAGAGATAGATATGCTTGCAGGGGTTCCCTGCATAAGTTTAGGAGCAGTGGTAGGTAGATAGTGAAAGGTGAAGTTGAGAGAATTATATAGCATAGTTTTGAAAAGAGAAAAATAAGGCAATGTATGATCCAAGTTGCAGCGGAGGATTCAGTCACATTTTGCGCATTTGGAGAGGAGTGGAGTGAGGCCCGCTGCCATTAGCTCGTGTCAGATCTGACCTTTCTCCCAGCGGAGGATTCAGGGTTTTGCTCCACTACTCTCCAAATGTGCAAAATGAGACTGAATCCTCCGCCAGAACACGGAAAGATAGATTGCCACAATTTTGTCTTTTGTGCATGTCGAGAGTAGTGGAGCGAAGCCCTCAGCCCATTGGCTCGCATCTGGATTCGAGCTCACGGGCCTCGCTCAACTTTTCTCGACATGCACAACAGACTAAAATCATGGCAGTGTATGAATCTCTCCATGTTGTGGCAAGAGATGCACTCTTGTCTTGCCCATGTCGAGAATAGTGAAGAGAGGCCCTGGGTTTTGCTTTAAAAAAAAAAAAAAAAGGAAAAAAAGAAACCGAGTCCAATTTGTCCAAACCACCAACGCCAACGTCCACTTCTATCCAGAAGGGCTCGTTATGTACTTGTATTCGACCATGAGCCCGGCTGACGAACCCGGTGCGCGCTAAACAACAAACATCCACAGAGGCAAAATGCCGCACACCTCCACAAGAAGGGGGGGGGGGGAGGAGGGGGAACGTCGCGCGCTAAACGACAAACTCAAAACGCCTCCGCAAACGAGAAAAAAACTCGCTGCGTGCTTAACTACAAAACTCTGCGGTGCGGGACAGGGCGTAGAGAGGTTTTCCGGTAAACCCAATGGAGGTGGGGAGCAGTGGTATTCTTCTTCGGTCCGACAGCCGCTGAACAAACAGTTGATGATGAGGAACCTGAATACGTGAGGTACGTCATCGATGGCCCGCTGAAAAACAGTGTGGTGGTGACCACAGGACTGTACAGTTCCGAGGAAGTTCGGGTCATTACAAGTGAAACCCCCTTCTGTGAAGTTTGCTCTATGCATGGTCATATGGGGTTCCATGGCAGATGCCCGACGCTGGCGGAAACTATACAGGAACTGCATGATAGGGAGATCAGAAGCGCTATGGACCCCATATTGCAGTCAGACCCACAAGAAGAGAGGAGGGCTCGGTTAGAGCTGGAGCTGCAATTGGATGGAGCCTTGCTCGAAGAAATGAGGGCAATGACACAGGCGTAAGGGGAGTCAGCAGGGCCGGCCGGCCCAAGCCTGCAGCGCAGAAGGCGGGCGAGGCGAGGGGGATATATAGGCACAATGTCTCGTGGGAGGGCAGGGATGACGATCCCATGCAAACAGACGAGCCACAGTGGCTATTTGGGGATGACCAAAAAAGGAAAGCGGAGCAACCCCCAGAGGAAGGAAGAGGGCCTAGGATGGCAGATACGAACCAAACAGGGGGCGGTGGGGGGGTGAAGGAGGGAGCGCAGGGGAGGGAGGTGCAATGCAAAATGTGACCAAGGAAGTGTTATGAACTTGGTTGTCTGACGATTTTCACCGCCACTCACACACAGACAATCTCATACACGCCCACACATGCATAAGACGAGGGCGAGAGGAGACAGAGTCCAAACTGCACACAGATCAAAGTAAGCAGCGAAACACAACCATGCACAGATGGGGAGAGAGACACAGTATTTCTCACTCTCTGACAATACTCCCAACAACCAATCACAAGAAGACACCTGCGAGGATAACAATAGGATTTACACTGATGATGAGCCAACTCGAACCAATTATCGTTACAGAGTTTGTTTCAGAAAC